ACTGGATACGATCTTTCAATTATTTTCTCCCAACCACAGTGTGGATTAAGTAAACTAATTCAAAACCAGGGAAATCTTCCAACTTAACTGGCCTTTCAGGGATGAGTGCCCACTCGCGGACAACATTGGCGTAACAGGCTGCTGTGTCTGAGGATAGAAATCTCCTAACACTCCCTTCGGGCTCTCTAGTCCGGGTTGTGCCAAATGCGGAACCAACCTTTTCTTTTCCTTTTGATGTTCTCTTTGGTGACATTCTACAAAGGTAAGAAAAGAGGTGTATCAGGCTCTTGACTTATGATAATTAAGAAAACGAGAGAGAATGGCTGTGAAGTGCAAAATCCTCCGAACTTACTTCAAAGTGCATATATAACATGTAAGAGTGTAGTGTTCAACGAATGAGTTCAATATAATATCAACATTGCATAAATATGAGAAGCTCATAAATTGTTGCCCAAACATGCACTTTTTTTTTTTTTGAAATTTTGACCCGTGACCAAGTGGGGACTTTCAGCCTAGGCATCACTGAGAAATATCAATTTTTTCCCGAGCAACCTCCAGGCACATGAAAGTATCCATATTATTCTAGCTCATATCCAAATTTCAAATCATTTGGGCTTCGTTTGGGTTGTCAAATTACGTGCCGAAGTGGGTGACGTGATGTGACCTAGCCATGTGCCTTCGTGTGGTTAAATTGGGATTCGGTGTTTTCCAAGTTAATTTCCATGTAGTTCTATAGTAAAACACAAAGCAATTCACATCTCATTAACTATACATGCACAGTTTACAAAAATGCCTCAAACATATCGTTTAGGTGTTTCATCAAACACATCACGTGCATTATATTTGAGCCCTAGGAATCTCATAAATTGAAGAGCGAATCATCCCACAGCACAATCATTATCCAATAACATCAATCCATAACTACATATTGCCCAATCTCCTAGGTATATATGTATGAATCTAGCACACATTCGGATTCAAAAGTCGAACCAAAATTTCAATTGAGAAGAATAGAACAAATTCATACCTTAGAATTGATGAAGTTGTGATTAATGCGTGGAGTGCTAGGTGAAGTATTTCAACTGATTGGTGGTGTACGTGAAATTGGGGAGACCTCGTGCCCTAGAACTCGTCTTGTGCGTGAGTGTGGGGGGGGAGGGAATTTTGGGGATGATGGGAGGAAGTAGTGTGGAATAGGTGGGTTGCGGGTTTAAGACTCGTAACTGGGTCACAATGTGACCGCATAGTGTTGCACTATGCGGTCGCATAGTACAACAATATGGGGCCACTTTGCTTTCGACAAATGCATAGACAAACGTATTTTTTTTTCAAATCTGAATTATGAAAAAAAAACAAAATCAAAATTACAATTTTAACCCCCAAAACACATCTTATATAAAATTTACCCTCGAAGTTGGTTTTCAATTAAAAATTTGACTTGGCTAATATCATTCCTGAAAAATTTAAAAACTTCCAATTCAATGGGATATGTGCTTGCCGAAGGACTTAGCACTAAAACCAATTTATGGAATAAACTTGAAATGCATTCCGAAATTTTTATGAAGAACAACTTTGTGCATCGAAATGCGTGACTTCACACTCAATCCCCTAAAATAACTTCAATCAACTTGACTCATGCCACCTTATGTGTGTAATGCTTATACTAGTATGCGTGAAAGATCGATGACCTAACAAAAGAAATGCAAATGCGAAAATTAAACAATTCCTAAAATAATGTGAAAAGTAAAATAAATCGAAGGATACAGTGGGTTGCCTCCCACCTAGCGCTAGGTTATAGTCGATAGCTCGACTTTTCTGCAGCTGTTTTATTCTGGCGTCCTGAGTTGAACGGTGGACTTTTGGTTGGAGAAGTCACCGCCACAGTAGTATTTCAACATTTGCCCATTAACAGTGAAGGTACCTTTAGTCTCATGGCTGACTCGTATAGCCCCATATGGTAGGACTTTCGTGATAGTGTAAGCACCTGACCACCGTGATCATAGTTTTCCTGGGAACAGCTCGAGTCTCGAATTATACAATAGCACTTGCTGCCCCACTTCGAATTCTCGCCTCTGACCATGCATGTCATGTCACTTCTTGGTTCGTTCCTTGTAGAGTTTTGAACTTTCATAAGCTTCCATTCTAAATTCATCTAACTTATTAAGTTACAGTAGGCGCTTTTCATCGGCGGAACTCAAGTCCATATTTAATTGTTTCATAGCCCAATATGCTCGGTGCTCCATTTCTAGTAGTAGATGGCATGCTTTTCGAAAAACTAGGCGGTATAGAGACATGCCTATCGGTGTCTTGAATGCTGTCCTGTAAGCCCACAATGCATCATCCAGCTTTTTAGACCAGTCCTTTCTAGATGAGTTCACTGTGACCTCGAGTATTCTCTTTAGCTGCCGATTAGATACTTCAACTTGTCCGCTGGTTTGTGGATGATATGGGGTAGCAACACGGTGTTTAACGCCATATTTATTCAACAGCTGCTCAAACTTGCGATTACAGAAGTGTTTGCCTCCGTTACTAATTATAGCTTGTGGTGTACGATATCGGGTGAAAATATATTTTTTCAAGAACCCAATTACTACCTTTGAGTCATTTGTTGGCAGTGCAACTGATTCCACCCATTTTGATACATAGTCTACTGCTACCAAGATGTATTGATTTGAGAATGAAGAGAGAAAATGTCCCATGAAATCAATTTCCAAACATCGAATATCTCCACTTCCAAAATGTTATTCAGTGGCATTTCATTCCTCCTCGAGATATTTCCAGTGTGTTGACATCTGTCACATCTCTTGACAAACTCAAAGGCGTCTCTAAATAGTGTAGGCCAGTTGAACCCTGATTGTAGAATCTTTGCAGCTATTTTTGAAGCCCCAAAGTGCCTTGTATATGCAGATGAGTGGCAGTGCTCGAGAATCTCACGTACTTCTTCCTCAGGTATGCATTTCCTTACTATCTGATCTGCCCCTTGCCTATAGAGAATTGGATCCTCCCATAAATAATACTTCAATTCAACGAAGAACTTTTTCCTCTGGTGACTTGAGTAGTTCGATAGTGAGATAGAACTGGTCAAGTAATTGACCATATCTGCGTACCAAGGTGCTTCATCTACTCTCAACATCTGCTCATCTGGGAAGATCTCATTGATGTTTACTAATTCTTCTGTCTCCCCAAGCTCTAATCGGGATAGGTGGTTCGCTACTACATTCTCACTGCCCTTCTTATCTCATATCTCGATATCAAATTCTTGCAGCAACAGCACCCAACGAATCAATCTCGGCTTTACATCCTTCTTTGTGAGTAGATACTTCAATGCAGCATGATCTGTGTAGAGGATGACTTTAGACCCGACAAGGTATGATATGAATTTGTCGAATGCTTATACCATGGCCAACAACTCCTTTTCAGTGGTGGCATAATTGATTTGCGCATCATTTAGAGTTCTGCTTACATAGTAGATCACATGAAAAATCTTGTTCCTCCGCTGTCCTAATACTGCACCCACGACGTGATCACTAGCATCACACATCAATTCAAAAGGCAGTTCCTAGTCTGGTGCCACAATTACTGGTGCTGTCGTGAGCTTCTTCTTTAAAGTGTTGAATGCTGTGAGACATTCTTCATTAGACTCAAAGGTTACGTCTTTCATTAGCAGATTGTATAACGGCTTAGTGATCTTCGAGAAATCTTTTATAAATCTCTTGTAGAACCCCACATGCCCTAAGAAGCTGCGAACTCCTTTAACTGATGTAGGCGGTGGTAACTTCTCAATAACTTGAATTTTTGCCTTGTCCACCTCAATTCCTTTTGCCGAGATCCGATGCCTGAGTACAATGCCTTCTTGTACCATAAAGTGGCATTTCTCCCAATTTAAAACCAAGTTAGTCTCCTTGTATCTCTATAAGACCAAATTTAGGTGTTCTAGACATTCATCGAATGAAGATCCAAACACTGAGAAGTTATCCATGAAAACCTCAATAAACCTTTCAATCATATTGGAGAATATTGCCATCATACACCTCTGAAATGTGGTTGGAGCATTGCAAAGATCAAAAGGCATCCTACGATAAGGAAAAGTACCATAAAGACAAGTGAAAGTAGTCTTCTCTTGATCATCTGGTGCGATAGGTATTTGATTGTAGCCCGAGTATCCATCAAGGAAGTAGTAGTGTGAATGTCCAGCCAACTCTCCAACATCTGATCAATGAATAGGAGTGGGAAGTGATCCTTTCATGTAGCTGCATTGAGTTTATGATAATCGATGCAAACTCTCTATCCCGTAACTGTTTTAGTGGAAATTAATTCATTTTTCTCATTTTTCACCACTATGATTTCCCCTTTTTTCGGTACCATTTGAACTGGACTGATCCATGCACTATTTGAAATTGGGTAGATAATTCCTGCATCCAGTAATTTTAGTATCTCTGCCGTGACTACTTCCTTCATGTTCGGATTCAATCTTCTCTGAGCTTCTATACTTGCCTTGCAATTTTCTTCCATTAGAATTTTATGCATACACAGAGAAGGGCTGATCCCTTTAATGTTAGCTATTGTCCACCCTATTGCTGTTTTGTTCTCTCTGAGTACCGTGAGCAATTTTTCTTCCTCCACCTCATTGACTGTGTTTGAAATGATTACTGGAAGTGTATCTGACTCCCCAAAATATGCATATTTGAGATGTGGTGGTAGTTGCTTGAATTCTATAACTGGCGATTGCTGAATGGAAGGCAGTGGCTTTGTATTTCCCGTCCCTAGTTCTTCGAAGTGCCTCTTTTGGGTGTATGGCGGGTTGGTCTCCAAAACCTCATACATGTTTCAACTTCAAGAGAATCTGACTAAACTGATTGGGATTGTGCAATGCATGCCTCATAGGTGTCAGATGGGCCGTGAAGTAAGAATGTTTCTTGTACTGCCTTGTCAATGATGTCAACTTGGTAACAACTATTTGATTCTGCTGGCAGTTTCATGGCCTTAAATACATTGAACGATTACTGCTCCTCTCCTAATCTTAAGATCAACTGCCTCCTTTGAACATCAATTAACGCTCTCCTTGTTGTCAGAAATGGTCTGCCAAGTATCAATGGGATATCCTTGTCTTTTTCGATGTCCAAGATAAGAAAATTCGCTAGGAATATGAATTTTTCAACCTTGGTAAGCACATATTCAATTATCCCTCTGGGATGTGTCAGTGACCTATCCACCAGTTGAAGGGTCATAGTAGTTGCTTTAGCTTTTCCCAAGCTGAGTTCCTAAAAATAGACAAAGGCATTAAGTTAATATTTGCACCGAGGTCACATAATGCTTTATCGAAATAGACTTCACCAATAGTGCAAGGAACAGTAAAACTCCCTGGATCTTTCAGTTTTGGTGGGAACTTTTTCTGGATTCTAGCACTGTATTCCTCCGTAAGCATTTCTGTCTCATGGTCCTCCAGCTTGCGTTTGTTTGATATAATATCTTTGAGAAACTTCGCATAGCTAGGCATCTGGAATAGTGCATCGGCTAGTGGGATGTTGATATGGAGCTTTTTGAAGACTTCCAGGAATTTTTTGTACTGTTGCTCCAATTTTTGCTTCTTCAACTGCTGTGGAAAGGTAATCGGAGGCTCGTATGGGTTGACTGTGACTTTGGGCTTATCTTGTGACTTTTCTGAGTTTTCCTTTGGAGTTGATTCCTTTACAACAGTCTCTTCTTCAGCAGGGAAAGATGTCTCTCCAATCACATCCAGTCTTTTGACATGGATTTCTTGCAATTATACTCCACTTCGAGTTGTAATGGCCTTGGCTTGCTCTTTGGGATTGATTTCTGTGTTACTCAGCAAGTTACCTGGCGTTCTGCCAGTCAATACGATGGCCAACTGTCCCATCTGAGTTTCCAAATTTTTGATGGCTACATTTTGATTTTGAAGTGTAGCTTCGGCTTTCTCCATGAATTTTCCTATCATATCTTCCAATTGAGATCTCTTCTCTTATTTATGAAATTGTCCCTGTGGCCTACTTTGATTCTGGTTGGTCTAAGATAAGTTGGGATGCTTCTTCCAAACGGGATTGAAAGTTTCTCTATATTGATTGTGTTGTTGGCGTTGTCCCCACTGTGCATAGTCTGCTTGCTCAATTCCTTGCATGAGTATTGGGTATTCCGATATTTTATGCTCAGCTTCACATTCCTCACAATTACACTTCTTAGCTTGTGCTGCTTGTGATATGCTTTCCACCTTGTGATACAGAGAGTCGATTTTTATAGATATTGCTGAATAAGTATCCACCTTGTAGACACCCGGAGTTTTCCTCGGAATCACCCTCTTAGAAGACCACATGACTGATGTGGTAGCCATTCTCTCAAATAATTCCAATGCCCCATCAACTGTTCGTGTGGATATTGAGCCATCTGACTCTGAATCCACCATGCTCTTGTGGCATGGAAGTAACCTTGTGTAGAAGAATCGAATTTGAGTCTTTTTATCAAACCCATGTTGAGGGAACTTCTGGAGCATGTTTTTGAATATGTTCCAAGCTTCGTCAAATGATTCAGTTTCTCCTTGACTGAATACTGATATTTCATGTCTCAGCTTCGCTATCTTGGCTGGGGAGAAAAACATTGTGCGTAATTTGTGTGCCAACTTGTTTCATGTAGTGATACTTGCAACCGGAAGTGAATCCAACCATTCAAGTGCTCTGTCTCGTAGCATATGTAGAAACAGCCTTACCCTAATAGCATCGTCCGAAATCCCTTGGTATCTGAAATGTTGACACATCCAAAAATTGAGATACGTGTGTATGTGTATTCTCCTCGGCTTTGCCATAAAATTGGTGTCCATTTTGAAGTAGCTGTATCACATTGGTCTTCAACTAGAAATTTGGCTGCCCAAACGGTGGATACGCTATGCTGGATTGACTTTGAATTACTTGAAGAGTCAAGAAATCTCCCAGAATCTCATTTCCTTGGTCCATTGCCTCTCTTTCATTAGCTTGAATAATGGGATTGTTTAGTTCGTTAGCCATTTGTACTTGTGCTTCTTGGTGATCTCTTTGTAGTCGATGAAAGGTGCGCTCGATTTCAGGATCAGCTAGACTCAATTCTCCTCCAGTCGATCTTGGCATGCAAATCTGAGAAACAAAACCAATACGAGCACTGAGATTCAAACAATTTAAATAACTAAAACACAAATAAAGGATAATAACCTAAAATAAAAATAAAAACAAAATTATACTAGCAAAATAATAATTGAAGTTCGAATTAGTGCCTCGAGAAATAAAATAAAACGAAACTCAATTCTCGATAACGGCGCCAAAAACTTGTTCACGAAATTATTTCTTTCGATTTAAAGCTACCGTAAGTGTATAGTTCGTTAACAAGTAAAAAAGTGGATTAAATGAGTCTGAATATCGTCCCACAGAGATTGATTAGTTCAATTTTACCTATCGTCGCCTTAACTGAAACTAAATTACTAAAGTGAATGTGAACCTAATTAAAACCCTGATTATGCAATTTTTTTGATTGAATTAAATTAAATATGCAAAACAATATTTTTAACACTCTAAAATGAAATCAAATGCCGAGAACGCACGTTTGTTATAATCAATAGAACTTAAACACACTAGGATCACGATTTTCCATGCAATTATCACTTTAAAACCCCAGTTTTACAATGTGACAACACACTTCAATTGTGACGAATCAATGATCCTAAGTTTATCCAATACTCTCTCTCGAGATGTATTGAACCTATTTCTACATGCCACCAGCCTATATTTCTATGACAAGTGTATATGTAAAAATGCATGCGGTTTTATGAACACTTAAAGATTCACGTAGGCCATAGCGTTATATTTCTATTCCCTATTGGACTCTATGATGATTTATATTATGTCAAATCTATTCCAATTCTCTCGAATGTAAGAATAAATCACTCAAACTCACACAATTACGGGCCCTTAATTGCGGAAACAATAATTGCATATAAATCATTCAAAACAATAGAAATATGTCTTCATGTCAAATTGCAAAACTAGAAAATTAAAGATCAAATTACATGGTACATCGATCTCCTAGTACATGAAAATCTAGTCTAACATAGTTAAAATAAAAGAATACATCAAATTTTGGATAAAAGACATTACTGGGTTATGAAATCTTGAAGCTCTTCGCGTAAATCTTCGTTCTTGCGGTCAAAATCATCTCCAAGAAGTGTTTTTCTGCCTCCAATACTTTTTGCTTCTTTTTGGACGTCTTTTGGTATTTATATTACGTGAAAATTAGGTTACCAAAAGAGTTTCAGTCGTATAAGAAAACTGCAGAATCGGCCCCAGATCTTGTTCTATGCGACCGCATAGTTTATTTCTATGCGGTCGCATAGAGAAAAAAAATTTGAGAAAAAATTCTTGGGAGGCCTCTATGCGACCGCATAGAGGGTAGCACTATGCAGTCGCATAGTGCTGTCAACTATGCAAAATGTCTATTTTGGTTGTTGAACTTTCATTTTTTTTCATTTTAGTCCCTTTGCAATTACTTCTTCTTCCAATCATCTTGTATCGCTTTCGAGTTCATACTTAGCATATTTGCATTCCCAGGTTGTCTTTTAGTTCAACTTTTGAATATTTGGCTATTTTCTCCTAAATTCCTTAGTCCCTGAATTATCACTTTGTTCCATTTTTGTCCTTTTTGGCTATTTTCTCCTAAATTCCATCATTTCCATAGAAACACCTACATTGCATGAATTCAATGAGATTAAGTCACAATTCAAACATTTTTCTCGTAATTAAGTCATATTTATGATCTAAATAAGTGTGCAAAAACACAATATCGAAATTCATTATAATTTGGTGTGTGTGTGTGTGTTAATTTGGTTAATATAAAAAGTTTATTTTTCCTTAAAAAAAACTAATAAATCATTTTACTTTTCTCACGTCTAGTTGTGCTTTTTTTTTTTTGACCCTTTTAAAGTCTTTTTTTCTTTAATTATTAGATAATTTTTATATTGATTTAAAATTTTAAAATAATATTGAATATGAACACGCTTTTTTATGCTTAGACCGAATCGTCACGCTTTATACTTTTTAGAACACTGATTTTAACAATTTACTTCAACCTACACTTTATTATTACAATATAGAATCAACTAATCAAAGAAATTACGAAATATCTAACTAATTTTCGTACTCATGGAAAACAAATAAACCATCTAATTCACTGAATTTTCCATCTTCTTGTCAGTAAAATCAGGTCTCCGTACGCGTTATGGACTTCTCATAAAAAGAAGATAATGAATTTCATTTCTTTGTCGCTTAATTGTATTGAAGTGTTCCAAAAACACACCATATTTCATATTTTTCCCAATTTTTTTGTTATACTGCCACCGAATTAAATTTGAATTTGAATATATCTTAAAAATGATAGATTTTCTAATATCGATTGTTTTTCGTTTTAGAATTCAAGATGTTAACACATTCAAAGGGAAAACAACCTTCCCTTGTTTGGCTATGGTTTAAACCAATCAAATTAATTTTTATCCACATATTTTATTTGATCTATAAGTACTAATCACTTATCCGCTACTCATTTTTCATATGCAAAAACAATCAATCCAATCTGCAAAACTTGCTTATAGAAGATTAAAAATGCATAAAGTTTGCTTCTTCAATGCACCAATGAAAATATAATCGGTTGTTTCTCCAATGCATCAATGATGTATTGGCTCTCAATTTAATCTATTTATATCTCTAATTAGGTGTATTCAATTGAGACTTGTAAATCTTTTAAGGATTTAAAAATCTAGGGTTATTTAATATAGAGTTTTCAAAAGGGGAATTAGCATAAAACGTCCATATCTTTCAAATTTATTGTGGAAAATATCATTACCTTTCATTTTTTCGACATTTTTGCTCTTATTTTCACTTTTCTTTGCGGAAAACATCCTTACATCTACTTTATGTCACTTGCTTCATTAATTCAATACAAAAATATAATATTCTTTGCAAACACCGAGGGTAAAATAGTCTGAACTCATTTACACCCCTTTTTCTTGCCTTCAAAGAGTTATTCCATAAGAAACAGTAACATGAATGCGAAAATAATTGATGAAAATCCATACAATAAATAAAGAAAAAATGGGTAAGGAATCTTGTATTTCGCAATTATAACTACTGTCAAATAGGTTAATGAAAAAATTTATAATGATAAATGAAGATATATATTGAATATGTGGTTGATGAACTTGCAATCTTCATTTCTATTTTCATGCTTATTAAGCCTGTAACCAAGGGAAAAATTGAGAAGAACAAGTGCAAATTTGTTGATGTAAAGTACCTTTAAGATGTCAATGGTGAATGATCCATTTGGCTCAATGGTGAAGATGAAATCAGTCCTGTTCAAAATATAATTAACGTTGTGATAATAATCCCTACGTAGTAATCCTTTAGACTAAAACATCCTTACCTTTAAAATTTCTTTGCATAATCCATCCCTACTTTTCAAAAGTATTTGTGT